TGAGAAACTCTGTCATAGCCCTGTCAGCCAAGAACAACAAAAAACGAGAAACCATTCATCCCAGCTACACTGCCCATCCCCACGGCATGGGCACAGTGATGGCAACAGAAGGGTGTATTGGTCCTCTCCTCAGACATCACTGAGGGAGACAGTGTGGCTGTGCCACCAGCAAGTCTTCTCTCACCAGCACAGGATGTGACCCCACAGGCAGGTGGGTGCTGCCAAGGCATCCATCCCAACAGCCCAGAGAGACACTCTCCTGCAGGCAGGTCCTCCGCCACCATGCCTCATTGTGCCTCTCCACCTCTTGTGCCCCAATTTGTCTTTTCCCTTCACTCTAGGTACACGCTGTATGTATAGATACAGTCTGTTAACCTCCAGGGTTGAGATGCTCCTGCTGGATGTTTCTGGCTTCTTTGGGGGCTTCCAGAAAGTTCCTTAAAGACATAACCTCCAGGACACCTAAAAGAATAGAGCAAAGGAAGAGCTTTCTATTCACAGTTTGATCAGCTTTGTAATGCAACAGTTCACAATATTTCTGTCACTGAAAAAGACAAGAGGCAAAAATAAAGACTAAGAATTACAGATGCATTTTGGGAGATGGGAGATTAGATAAGCATCTTTTAAGCTTTGTATTGTACAGTTAATTTCAGATATATTATTTTGTATATGAAGAAAAAAGTTTAAAAATAATCTTTTATTCCAGTTTGAAAGACCTCCCAACAACCCATGAAGGTAAAACATCATTTTAAATGTAAATGAAATGTTGTTTGCTGCTCTAGTGGAGTCAATGAACTTTTGATTGAAAGAGAATTTCTCCCTGCACCTCCCACCCCCTCACCCCCAAGTTCTGCAGCGCTGATAATTCCCGATGCACCGACATGTAAGATTCATTGACCTATTTAAATGCAGTTCCCTGTTGAGGCCTGATTACCCAGGACTGGCCAAACTAGTCCCACTCCGTATCTAAATGCAACATCTTAACTCCAGTGTGATTCATTACTATACGATAAGGATGCCAGGAAGTAGCAAACACACAAAGTGGGGAGGGAATGCAAGCGGGAAATATCTGACATTCAGAGAGGGTGCTTGAAGCTGACATAGTGAATGCTAATGAACAGCCAGTTTGGACCATTTCCTGCTTATGCTAATAAAAGGGTTGCTTTATCAGAAATGAACCCTGTTTAAATCCAAGACGAGTGTCATGCATTAGTATGGTTGAAGAATACACCTAAAACCCCTTTTGCTTTAAAAAATATAGTGCTATTTTGGAACCAGGTCAGGAGACAAGTCTGTTGTAACTGACTCAGTTATAATTATAGTACAGATCAGGCCCTGACTCCACTGTAATTGTATAGCATGACAGGCTCGTGCATGAACGAAGAGTAGGAGTCTTGGCTAGAGCAAGACAAATTCTAATATCACGAACATAACAGTGAAAATCATAATTACAGATACGTCACTGCGGATCGGGGATGTAGCAGGCATGGACTGATTCCCAGTGACCTGGGAGGGACTGACTCAGCTTCATGTTGCTGCTCAGCAAAGCAGCCCGGCTATGATAGCTGCATTGTGCCAAGAGGGAAAATGATTGGTGGGGTGGATATTCCTTGTGGGTCATTGCCAGCCAATGGTGATGCAGGGGCACATCTCTGACTTGACCATGGCGGAGTGATCCTTGAAGGTGGACAAGTGCCTGTCTCCCAGAGCAAAAGCCAAGGCACAGGGTACCTTCCCTGCTCCTGCAACATGTGGGAGAGGCAAATGGTTCCCATGGACCACGCTAGGGTTATGCTACACATCACCTTCCCCCCCATGTGCTCTGCTCCCCTACCTCTCCAGTAGCACAAAAAGGTGCATCTTCCCCTCAGCTAGCCAGTGACTGTAAAGCCAGAATACACTTTCACTAGCCACCCCTGCAATGCAGAAGGTGACCTACAGCAAAGGCACAAAATAGACAGCCAGTGGTGATACTGTTTCCTCAGCTGGGTTCATGAGCCTCCATCTACCAGAGTGCTTTGGTGCCTCAGGGTTTGGTTCCAAACAATCACCAGACACCAACGAGAGAGCAGATACAGAGAGCCACCAAAAGCAGGTATCTTCGAAATCCCACCTCTTGGACGTCCTTGGCACCAAGCACCAGGCTGCAGGGAGGTAGTGAATATTTTTCCTGGTGTACATTCTCCTGTTACACCTTTCCTTTAGGATTTGGTGATGATATCAGTGCCTTTTATAGAACAGAGCAGTAGTTAAGCACTTCGATGGGCTTCAGGGTCCCCCCTTTGCAAGTTCAGGGGCCTTCTCAGGTTTATGGATTCACATCTGACCTTTCTTGCTTCCCAGAACAGCATCCTTTAATCACCAGGCTCTAGGCTACAGAGAACGTGGGTCCTCCCCACCCTTCCAGTACTGTGTGGAAGATAGGGTTTTTTTTATATGCCTCCAAAAATTGGTGAAAAAGGGAGATATGATTATACATTTTACGTTAAACAGTTACTGGAGTTGACATTTGAGTGTACAACAAAAAAACAACAGATGGATATTGACAGATGGAGGAGCATGAAGAAACAATGAGACATCTTCCACCACTCTTCTCTGCTTCTGAAACATGTTATTGTTTCCCCTACCATCTTTGTTGACCCCAGCCCCATTTTCAAGTGTCACTCCATATGCTTCCTTTCTTTGCCTCCATATGTCTTAAACATGTAAAAAAAAAAAAAAAAGTAAAATAAAATAAAAATCCCACTCCTTCTGGCCCTACTCAGCCAATTTTCTCCCCCTGTAAAATCTTTCTGTTCCCTCTCGTCCATAGAAATGGCTTATGGCATTACCAGCAAACTCGCCAGCGAGCTCTTCCTCTCTTCCGTTTTAGGGTGACTGCACACCCTCCCTTCCTGAAAACCACCTGTTCTCCAGCTTTCAGAAATGCCATACGCTTGTTTTCCTCCATTCCCATGCCATGACACACTTCCACATCTTCAACTACCCTTTACAAACTCAGCAATTTAACTTCTTCATTTCCACTCTGCTTTGCTAACAGCTCGCCTTTACTTCGCCAGATGAACTTCCTCAATATCCCTCTGCAGAAAGAAAACCACAGGCCAACTAACTGCTAAACTCAAGCACGTTCATTAAGTTCCTTCTGTTCCTTGATGCTTTTTAAGATTGAAAATGTATCCTTTATTTTTGACTTACTCTCTCTTATCCAACTTCTTCCTCTGTCACTCAGTCTTTAACATGATAGTATTTTCTCCACTATCTCCAACAAACAAATACGCCAGCACTTAGTTTATGGATAAGTGATATGTTCTTTTTTGGCTCCTGATATTTTACCTAACCCCATTTCTATCTTACCTTTCACTTGGATCAAATACCATTCTTCTACAAGTTCTTTTGCTGACCTTCCTATTAAAGTTCCTCCCCTTTTGCCTTCATTGACATGCACATCTTAGTGATTTCTATATCTCCTTCTAATACACTTAATCTGCAGAAACACTTCGTTTGTCACTTTCAAAGATCCCATGCTGTCTTTTCTTTCCCTGTTCTTGGAACTGATCCACTGGCCCAATCCATCTAATTTTCATTGGTTTCTCTTTGAAAAGAGCTATAAATCCTACCCTCCCTGCTCTCAATATTAGAAATTGCCGATAAAGATTAAGGGAGGCATTAGCACATGCAAGCAAACCACACTGCTTGTTTACTTTTATTTCATTGTTTATTTGAAAATTTTGTTTGTGATTATAAGCTGTGATAAGACCTTTGCCTCTTCTGATGCACCTCAAAGTACCTGACACATTTTGAGATGTGTATAAATTACACTCAAAATGCCATGAAATTGAACTAACATTTAAAGCTTTGCAAAATTAATCTCCACCAAATACTGGTGTCTGAATTCAATGCTTCATTTGGAGCCTGGCATGCAACATAATTACAGTGAAAGGTGAAATAAAGAAGAGTAGTATGAACATTTCGCATACCTGCTATTCACCATCTGTTCTTCTCTGTGACAGAACGATACAGCTTCTTTTTACAGAAGAGCCTTTGACTTGATGGAAAAGGGAGAATGGCATATTTTATTATACTGCAGAAATATTTTTATTTTATTTTTAGGAACCAAATAAAACAAATAATATATCTTAGTGGGCTGTGATGATATATTAGATGACTTCTAATTTCAGAAGCCATAAATTAGTATGCCATTACCAGGAAATTATAGTACTGCCTTACCAGGACCATAAGGCACCAACAATAATTCCCCCCCCCTTCACCTTTTGGAGTCTTTTTATACTTCACTTGGATTATGGGCCCTAAAAGGTGGAGCCACAAGCCCTGGAAGTTATCCTAAAAATATACTGAGGTTTTCACATAATCAAGGTCCAAGCCATTAAGGAAAAAATGCCATTATAAGATTTGCAATAATTCCACAAGCATTTACTAAACTGGGGGTGAAAGATAGCACGGGCACAGGCATCTTACTTGAGTGACACCTGGGTAGGGTCACGGTGAAAAATGTGCTTCACCTTACAACGTGCATCCCACAACCCTGCTGACCCTAACACAGGAGTGAGAAAGGAGTGAGTCATTGACTGCGTGAAAATTCACTGTGGATGTCATTTCTCCTGCCTTTTTAGAGCAAATTCTCACGTAGGGCACAGACCTCTCCCCCCCCCGAGCCCACAGCCCCCTCGCTGGGAAGCGAGGCTGCCTGAGCAGCAGCCCATCGCCTCTTGCCCGGGCGGCTGCTGCTCCCCTGCCAGCCGTGTCCCAGGGGTGCCAGCGCCCCCCACTCCCCCACAGGTCTTTCTCCTCTATTCGTCGCCCTTTAAATAAAACCCTAATACCCAGGGCATGGGAGGGGTTAACTTTTTAGACCCAGACAGTCCCCCACTGATCCGGTAATGAGTAAGCAATGCAGCTGAATGCCAATAGCGCGGTGTGAACTCGGGTAACCCAGCTGAGCCCTGGGCGAAGAGGGGGGGTGATCAGCCCGACCTCCCCGACCTTCCCCAGCCCTCTCGCTCGGGGTCCTGCGGCCCCCAGCCTGTTTGCTATGGCTGCTACGTGCTGCTTGCCTGGGGGCGAAAGCCTTTTCTAACAACTGGGTCTGAGTCAGCTGTTGGAGGTAATGTAATATACCTTAGTCAATAGCTATATGTTGCACAATATACGATGTGGCAGTTCCTTTCTAACTTGGGGAGCCACCCTGTCTTTTTAGGATTTCCAGGAAGAGCTGTGGCATCTGACCTTCAACTGTTATTAAAAGAAATCAAAGATTGTATAACAGTCTGTCAGAGCTTTGCATTTCTCAGTGGAGTTATGTTTCATCAAATGCCTCCACATTTCTGAGCTTCACAGGTTCTCTATTCCTTTACTTGTTTATCCTCTGGTAAGCATTTATTAATAGAGAGACTTATTCCTTTACTGTACTTGTTTATCTTTCAGGGGGTTTGTTTTGTTTTTCAATTTAGAAGCAGAAGGGTCTCCCACGCATTTCATATTTCTATCTGCGGGTAAAGTCACTGCATGGCTTTGATAGCAATCTTCCAGCTGTCCATTTCCACCCTGGAATCCCTCCCTTCGGCTGATTTTCTGCATTATCACCATAGTTTTTGACTAAGACTATTAATCCACCTGTCCCTCTGTGAAAGCGGCTAGATTGGTTTGTGTAAAAGGGGAGCAAGATGGTATGAACTGTAAGTCTGCTATTAATCCTGTTAATAAGGGATTAAAGTGAAGCCCTGTGAGTATGAAAGGCTGATTTGATTGTTTGGGACTATAATTTAGCTCTCCCTTATGAAAGCAGTGTTTGCTGTGCATCACATTTTCTGATTTGCATATTTGGTCTCTGAGGAAATCAAGGTTAAATATAGCAAGGAGATTCTGCTGGCTTAAACTGGTAGCACAACTATGCTCCCTCAGCCTAACAGTCCCTCGGATAGCAGAAGTAGGAACCCTGTCTGTTCTTGCCTGGCAGTAACTGCATCCTGTAACACAACTTAACATTGTTAGCTTATGCTTTGCCTCTGACCTTTACACGCTCTTTGCTTATGTACCAGATAGGCGGCATGCCTTATTTTAGAAGGAAAGAAGCAACAGAGGAACTGGTCTAAAATAAATATCTTGCCACTGCTATTTTCAGTAAAAGACTTATAAAAGCAACAGAAAGCTGAACAGCACCATATATTCCCTATGCGAGGCTATCATATAGAGCAACATTAATCTCATTAAAAAAAAGTTGATAATGTCTCTGTGTTAGAGTTTAGCATTCTGCTTCTTCCTCAGCCTTAAGAGAAGGCCTATAAATTATTAATGCTAACATCAGTGTGAGACAACAGATGGTAAAGATTACTTGGAAAAAGTCTTCGCATTAACATATTATGGCCCTAGTTTCACAGCACGTTGGGACTGTTGCCTGCTGCTGCCAGCCAACCTGGCCCTAGAAGAAACCTCCCAGCAGAGGGGAATCCTTGGGCAGCAGCAGAAAGGTCCCACCTTTTGAACCTTCTGGTTCAGCTGTATGGGTACAGTGACCCGGCCACCGCAGCAGAGAGGGGGGGGGGTGGGGGTGTCATGTGTCACAGCACCCCTCTGACACCACACTGGCCCCTTGAGGGTCCTGGCATCTGCTATGCCAGGGACAAGGCCAAGAATGAATGAGCTTGGGGTTAGGAAAACCTTCAGGTAGATAGAAGATGTATTCCTTGCTGAGGTGCCTCCAGGTGGGATCAGTTGCGTTGCATGCTCTCAAAAATAAGAAATATACATTTATCAGTTTTGAACTGTTCTTGAGCCAGTGGTGATACATGATCCAAAGTATTCACTGATATATTTGTGCATTATCCAAAAATCTTACAAGCAATGAAAGTATATGAATGTTCTCCAGAATGGGTTACTTCAGCTCCCTCAGGTTTACAAACGTATTAAAACTGTTATCAAGCAAGTAAATGAGATTTCTTTGGGGAGGGTAAGTGTACTGCATTGTCTAGCCAGCTAGCACTTGTTACAGCAGAACATGACCTTTACTCTTGTTTTGGAGTTATCGGTCTATGACCCTCCTGCCCATCACTCTGCTCACATCATTTTTGAAGATAACTCTGTGTCAGAACCTCTGACACAGAAGGCATTTTTCCAGCCTTTTAGGGATTTACACTGGAGACATTTTCTCATGGCCCATTACTTCTGCAAATGCATATGCCATGTGAGTGTTTCACTGTGATTAAATCATGACTTAAAACATAATTCTCATGTTCCTACATCCTCTGGGTGTCATGGAAAAATTTCCACAAAGCCTAAATAATGAAAACATAAGCGAGCACTACCCTTCTCAGGCTTAGAGTGGTGGGCTCAAGTATGGCTTTATAAAATGAGAGCTGGAACTAGCTCTTCAATTATCAGCTTGTTGGAATCTTCTGTTCTTGAGAGATGGGCAGTGGCAGCAGGTGAGGGCATGGAGTGATTGCTATAAAATGTCTTCAGCGGTGTTGTTGCTGTGCTATTTTCATTAGTACTAAAGCCTTAGCTAAGCAGCTTTTGCTTCAAAACTCATTATTTTCATAAACTAGTAATATCTATTTTACTGAACAAATATGATTATCCCCTTCTTGGTTTTGTCACATGAAGCAGAATCCTTCATTGCCTTGACTCTGACAAGCCCTCTTTAAGGGAAAATGTCTGTGTGCACAGCAGCCAATCCAAAATCCTCATACCAAAACTGTTGCTTAGATCCCAGTGGCATGGTGTCACTGCATCCAGGTTTCACCTGCAGAGACTTCTGGCTTCACATTCAGCTTTACATGATGACTTGGAAAGTTAGGTGCTCTGTAGAGATTTGCTCTTGATGAGCAATTTTGCAATTTATCACAATCCTGAGATGCCACCTTGGAATCAGTCAACCCTTGAAATATCCTGATTTGGGAATGAGGTGCTGGAAGAGCTGTTTGAAGATGCCTGATGTCACACAGTCATAAACTGTTGATTTCTGACCAGGTTAATCAAGTCTGCTACTTAGTATTATTTTAGAATTAATTTTTCACCGTAAAATTCCACTTACTATTATAGCACCTAATTTTGGTTTATAAAAGAATACCCCAAAGACCCAGTCTAGGGCCACTGAAGATTCAGATTAAGGTTAGCAGGGAAAGCATTCAGGAAACAGCATTAGTGGCACAGAAAAGGGTTCAGATGTTACCATCTGATAATTCCTGATCACCTCTACCTAAAACCAGCTACACTGGCACAGATTTGCATTTGTCCGTGGACAACTAACAAGTGTTTACAGGCTCTGGATTACAATAGTGGCAATCTGTTATGTCACAAATAATCTTGTTCCAAGTGCTGAATGTGGATAATTAGTAATCTGCTTTCTCTGAGCAAATATACCCCAAATAACCTCTTTTTGTTGGCCGATTTTATGGGCAATTGGGAGTCGAGGCCTCATTTGTCAGCTGCAGTGTGGGACGACTGGGCACAACGCAGAGGAAGGGTGCAGAGCTGGTCCACAGCGCGTCCCCCTCCCCCCCCAGTGGTCGTTTGGGGTCCTGGGGGAGAGCTGTTGTTAAGCCTTCTAGCAGAAGATGCAGGTGGGAGGGATTTTAGGTTATTCATTTACTTCCTGGATAAGTTTCCAGACTCCCCACACCATCATTGGTATCAGAGGGGTGATATGGGGCCCTGGAGGCAGAGGTGGCAACTCGCCTGTCAGAGCAAGTCCTGGGGAAGGTTGCTAAGGTTCCCTGAGGTCAAAGGAGAAAAGCAAGAAGACATGAGTAAAACCAAGAGGGATAAAATATGTGTAAAAGAAAGTTTACATGAAGGAGTACAGGCTGTCCTGCACTTGTTCTGCCTGCTCTCTGAGCTTCTGCTGAGCGAGCAAGCTCAAATTCAGAGCCACGGACCATGTTTAGCCCACGTACATTCATCCTCCCCCAAGTCATATCTGGACCTTAAAGAGGAAGGGGTCCTCACATCTTTAAATCACGAGATGCAGACTTAGTGAAATGATCTTTTTGACTGACGTAAATGAGTTGGCTTCAGGGAAATCAAACAACAGTGAAGAATGAGGGAAGCTTGTGTTTCCTAGCCAGTGAAGTATTAGAGCTGGAAAGATGATAGGAAGATTTGGCATCATGCAAATGCATATAGAGGGATGAAAGTCATTGATAGATTTTTCGAAGTATAGAACCAACACAGTTCAAAACAGCTGTTGCCATCTCTGTCAAAAACAACAGTACAGGTACAGCTCTGCATGTTTCGCTGCATAGACAATATGAATGCTCAGATTCTGATATGCACTATGCTTTGTGTGAAGGTCAGCTGGTGACTTATACAGAATAAAAATGCAATTAAAGATAACCTTGAAAGCATTGAAACAAACCTAACTGAAGGTATTGGTATGTCTGAAGGGGTGTGGGGGGGAAACAAACACACAGAAAAAAGTTAATTAAGATTCCTGGGAAGGGAGGGAAACTGCTTGCCTCTCCGCAGAGAGACTAAATGCTGAAGGGAGGAGCAGACCTTACAAGGTAATGAGCGCGCTAAATGGCGAAGTTTGGGCTGGGAGAAAGGTAGAGCTTCAAAGGAGGAATGTGCACAACTTGGATCATAAGCTGCCTTTACATCTGTCCTTAGCAAACTCCAAGATGAAAGGATCTGCGCTCAAAGGACCTGCTTTACTGTTGCCTTTCACCTTCTGAGCTTATTTGTATCTGCGCAAAGGGCGTGTAAATTGCCAGGGCTCCAGTTCAGTGGCTTGTTGTCTACCTATATAGGATGAACCAGCCTATATGCTGGGTTCCAAATATGTGGGGACTCTCATACTCTACCACCTGCTGCTGATGGTGCCCTGTGCATGCTGTTCTGGTAAGGGGGGGTGAATCTTCTCTAGCACTTTGGATGATGTATCCATAATACTGCAACTACAAATGTATGTGAAATGAGATACTGGAACACTGACAAATTTTTGGTTTGGCTTGTTCACTGCTCTGCTGAGGCCCATGGCACAGCGTCTGTGCCTCTGCCCTTTTGACTGCCACCCTCCTCCTCCTTATGCTGCACTGGCAGGGGTGATGCCAATGGGGAAGGTCGCTCCCTACCCTGTGTGGGCAGCTGAGCAGAAGAGCTGCT